ACTTAAAGCTATGACTAACAAATGGTTTCAATCCAAATATTACAAATAATTCTTTATTTAGAGGATTATTTATTTGGATTGAAAATTATGTTCTTTTGTGATATTAATTCTAAGCCTCTGAAAACGGCGAACTATGTTTAAAAGTGTCTGTAATTTCTAAAGTAAATGCAAAATTTTTGTAGATCTCCTTGAATCTAAGTGGAAACCCTCATCGTCTTAATTGTTCTATTTAAATTCCAAGGTAGAGCTATAAAAATTATGTTCTGTCCAACAGCTAATTTATATAACTGTATACACTGGTCTTTTAGTTACTTGAACATACTAGTGCAAAGTAACAGTTCATAGCACTTTGCTGTATGTCTCATTTTCACAGGCTGACTTGGTGTGAGCTCTCTGAAAAAGCCTGCAGTGGTCTGACATCCTCAGTCCTAAGCTCTGCATTCTCAAACCTTTTGGAGTTGGACTTTAGCCATAATGATTTGCTTGATGTGGGTGTGCAGCATCTTGCAGATGGCCTGAAGAGTTCACACTGCAAACTGGAGATTCTGAAGTAAGTGTGCATAAATCAGACTGCCAGGGAGGTTTTTGTTGTCTTTTCCTGTTAGAAAATTTAAAGGTTTCCATATGGTACAAAGTATAACAGACTGTTAGGTTGCTGAGACGCTAGACTGTTTTTAGCCACATATGAATTTTATTAGAGACAAATATTTTTTACACTTTAGTCAAAGTGTGCAGAAAAGCTGTACCTTATATGATTGCTTTCCATTACCATTATATCCTAAGCCCAGACTAAAGGGGGATGAAGGGGGGTTTCTGAATATAGAATCCAATTAAATGGTCTACCTGGCCTCATACTTTATATAAATAGGACACTAAATTTCTGTGAAAATTTTGTTAAGTTTACCCAAGCAGGGAAAACATCCACAGCATTCAAATGTCTTATGTAAATAATCACTGCAGTAACTTGATGTTAAAGAGAAGGTGATCATCTTATTAAAGACATTAATGTCTCATGTGTTTATTGAATCGTTGTTTGAGTGTTTCAAACCTTTATCAAAAAGTCAGAAAGACCATCAAAATAATTTATCTCTGTGTGTTCTGCAGATTGTCTGGTTGTCAGGTAACAGGGACAGGCTGCTCTTTCTTGGCCTCATCTCTCAAATCGAATGCAGCCTCCCTCCTGAAACATCTGGATCTGAGTTATAATCACCCAGGAGACCTTGGGACCAGAGAACTCACTGTTATAAAGGAAGATCCAGATATGAAGCTGAAGACACTGCTGTAAGTTATAAATATAATTGTCTATATAGTATATATAAATTAAAAGGCATTTATTTCTAATAATATAGAAGGATCTTTTTCTGGGCCTACGTCAACTTTAAAGCAAAATTATAATAGAACCTGAAGTAAAAAGTCAATGTTTCATTTATAACATAAATTAAATTTGAAGTCATATTTTTTCCACTCTGTTTGAAAATTATTGCTGCACTACTTCCTCACCCTACCTTACTATACCTAATACTATATATAAAATAAAATCTTGCACAGTTTGGACCATGGTGGAGAGCATCGGTTAAAACCGGGGATGAAGAAGTGTAAGTTGGTCTCTGATTTTCAGTGTTTTGTCAAGTAGTCATCAAGTTAAAGCTCCAGTTGCTCATTTTTGAAATCAAAATCACCAATTATAATTTGCTATACCTGCTAATGTTGTTTTGATTTGTTGCTTTGCTTTACTTTTTTATGTATTTATATTTTGTGGTCTCTCCAGTACACAAAGATATCAAATCTTTGCGTTGTCTTTATCAGATGGTGTAGAACTGAAGTTTGACGAAACTACGGCGAGCAAAAGGCTTATCTTAGAAGGAGACAGAAAAGTAAAAACTGTAAAGAAGGTAGAGGAGAAACCTGCACGACCTGAAAATGAAGACAGGTTCAAGAGGTCTCAGGTGTTTTGCGTCGAGGGACTGAAAGGTCTCTGCTACTGGGAAGTGGAATGGAGTGGGACGGTCTGCATTGCTGCAGCATACAAAAGAGTGGGTAGAAATTGGGATAGTAGTGGTGGCCTTGGATGCAATGAGATGTCCTGGG